ATTTTTTTGCACCCTCAGATTCCAGATTTTCAAATAGTTGTATCTCGGCAAAATATTGTCCTATCCTAACAAATACATCAGTGGAAAGCTTATTTATTCAGCTTTCAGATGATGTATAAATCTCAATTTCGAAAAAAAATGGACCCTTATGACTGGTTTTGTGGTTCAGGGTCACATATGAGCATCCTGAAGCATCTACGTCACATGCACATTTAGGGAATATCATTATTATTCCTTCACATCCTCACATTATTTATTTTTCTCTAGTTTTCTTGTATGGGACGGACCGTGTACCTGTGGGAGGTTTCTCAAAGCGCTCTCTGAAGATTTTACTGTCAGACTGTCCTGATGCAGAAGACCGACTGCCAGAGGCCCAGACCTGTTTTGGCAGATTAATTCTTCCCAAATACAGCGATATCAACACACTTCACAACAAGCTTATACACGCAATCAGCTTTTGTGAGGTTTTTGGACGAGAGTAAACTTCCCTCGAGTCAAGCATATGTTGCTAAACTTTGTAGCTTATTAGTTTTAAATGTTACATGAACTGTTATTCAGTTTTGCAGTCATAAATTTGCAATATAGATGTTACTCTTTTGCTTAATGTGGTCACATTATTTTTGTAAATGTATAGTTGTCATAAAAAACTAAATATTTGCAGGCTAAAATAATCACAGTATGAGAGCTATACATATTCTATTTTATATATAGCATAAAAATAATGACCTTTCATTGTTTATGCTTTACAGCTGACAGAATAACTTAACTAAAGCACTTTATAATATTTATATTATATAATATAATGCATTAATATGTGGATATTCTGGTATGTCAACTTATAACATGTTATTGTTTCTTCAAACATACTGAATTGCTTAAATAAAAATACATGTTTTAGTAAACACTGTTGGCGCTCATTCATAAACTGTTTGGTTGACAGGTTTGAGCCAGTTATCAGCAGATGTTGGAAAATGTTTTTTTTATTGGTCTTATGAAGTATTCTAAGTTGTTGAGATGGTGGGTTTTTGTTAAATGTGAGCCAAAATCATCACAATTAAAAGAACCAAAGACTTAAACTACTTCAGTCTGTGTGCATTGAATTTATTTATTACACGAGTTTCACAATTTGAGTTGAATTACTGAAATGAACTTTTCCACGACATTCTAATTTATTGAGATGCACCTGAACATACCCTCCTAGGTCGATTTGTATCAGTTATAAGTTAGAATAGCAAATTATTAAAATGATTTTGCGTTCTAAAATATACAGGAGTTACGCAGAACTTATACAGAATTACAAGCTTCACCATCCACTTTTTCTGTATGAAAAACAGATGAATAATGGAGACTTTAGTGAGTTTTCAGTCCATTACATTTTGCCAAACACCTCATTTTGTGATCCATGAAGGAATGTATAAATAGGACTACTGATTTGAAACCATACGGAAGTAAAAATTGCCAACAGAATCTTAATTTTGGGCGAACTATCCCTTTAAATTTTGGTTTCGTTTTCCAGTGACGTCCTAAGATATCATTCCCAGATACTTTCATTTTGTGGGAAATTGAACAAGTTTCGTTTAGGCTGAAAACAACAATTTTCTGCTTAACTTTCGTGTTTGCTTTCAGTTTAACATGAGTGTGTTCGTCAGTCCAGGAAGGAAGAGAGAAGAGAGACTTCTCGTGCATCAGCTGTGGTCATGTTGTGTTTTTGGGGAGCGCAGGTCAGAGAGGGTTTGGGGCTGGTAAAGCCTGACCAAGTAAAACATGGCAATTCTGGAATACGATCAATGTGTCCGAAAACAGCAGTTCAGCACATGTCAGCTGGAAGGAGTTTTGCTGGATTTATCCGGGATGGGAAGGTCTCGGTCCTGAGATTGCGCAGTGAAGATGATCATCATATAGGTATGTGTTGGGGAAAGTTACTTTTAAAAGTAATGCATTACAATATTGCGTTACTCCATAAAAAAGTAACTAATTACGTTACTTTGTTACTTTTTATGAAAAGTAATGCGTTACGTTACTTTCGCGTTACTTTTAAAATTTGGACAGGGCTTGCTTGTTTGTTTTTAAAATAAAAAAGTTATATTTTTGGCAAATATAAAAGCCTTTTCACACCAAAAGTGGTATGATACAATAAATGGCGCTTTGTTTTATTCATATTGTTAAATTATACTACATAGGCTAAAACATAATAATTGATAAGGTATGCAATGAAAACATAGGCTAAATTCTAAATATATTATGGATTTTTGAAAATGACCTTTCATGCGGTGTGTAACACAGCTCTAAGTGAATGAAAACATCCTGTAAAGTTTTAAATCTGAAAGTGCACCGTGTATAAAGTTATTGTCTCTCAAAAGAAAGAGTATGAACCTTTCATTACCCGTAATAGGGGCACTTTAATAATAAAACATGTTTTTTATGTTTATAATATTAACATGTAATATAATATAATATTTATAATATATATATTATTTGCTCCAGAATCACTAGATCTAAATGACGATATTGATGACAGAATCAGACTGATTGTCTGTGGAGGAGATGGTGCAGTGCTTCTTTCTGATTCAGGAAATGTTCTCATCATGGACAAATCTACTGTGTGCAAGTATGTTTATGGTGACATGACCGTATAAATGACCATAAATGACCATAGATGATAACAACAGATTGTCTTGTCTCTGCAGGCCTCTCAAAGGTGTGGATAACAGGCAGGTGATTCAGATCGCATGTGGAGACCATCATTCAATGGCACTAACCAACGGTATTCACAACTATTTCATCTGCCATTTTGCTTTCATCTTTTGACATCTTGTGATTGAGATGAATTGATTGAGATTTGAGTGTAGATGTTCAGAGCTGTTGCTCTTTCAGATGGTCAGGTGTTGGTATGGGGTGAGAACTCTCATGGTCAGCTGGGTTTGAGGAAAGATCATCCCGGCTCTCCGTCTGCTCAACATGTTCAGAGTCTGAGTGGGATCCCGCTGGCTCAGATCAGCGCTGGAGGAGACCACAGCTTTGTGTTGTCTCTCTCTGGAGTCGTGTTTGGATGGGGAAAGAACTCTGCTGGACAGCTGGGCCTCGGAGACACTACAGGTTTTCTTGTTTCTTCATGTAAAAGCTAAATCAATAACAGTATGAAATTACATGTAAAGGTACTAAATTGTGCAATACCGTGTCAAATCTATATCAAAGCATGAAAATGATGCATTTGGAAGTGATGAATTCAATTCACAATTCTTGTCACCAAAGACAGACACATCCCAACAATTATAAATAGCCTTCAGTTGAAAAAAACGGTGTCCATCTCATGTGGAGGGGAACACACTGCCACTTTATCAAAGGTACAGTATCATCATTTTATAATAATAATAATAATTATTATTATTATTATTATTACATACAGTTAGGTCCATATAAATTTGGACACAGGCACAATTTGTATTATTTTAGTTGCTGACCAAACATAATAATATAGTTGCAGTTATATAATGAATATGGGATTAAAGTGCACACTCGGATCTTTAATTTGAGAGTATTCACATCAAAATTGGAGGAAAGGTTAAGGAATTACAGCTCTTTAATATGTACCTCCCCCCTTTTTCAAGGGACCATAAATTGGACAGTTCACTCAAAATCTGTTTCATGGACAGATGTGGGCTATTCCTTCATTATTTCTACATCAAATAAGGAGGTAAAAGGTCTGGAGTTGATTCTAAGTGTGCCATTTGCATTTGGAAGCGGTTGCTGTGAACCCACATCATGCAGTCAAAGGAGCTCTCCATGCATGTGAAACAGACAATTGTTAGGCTTCAAAAACAAAACAAATCCATCAGAGATAGCAGGAACATTAGGAGTGGCCAAATCAACAGTTTGGTACCTTCTGAGAAAAAAAGAACACGCTAGTGAGCTCAGCAACATAAAAAGGCCTGGACGTCTACGGAGAACAACAGTGGTGGATGATCTGAGGATCCTCTCCATGGTAAAGAGAAACCCTTTCACAACATCCAGCTAAGTGAAGAACACTCTCCGGGAGGTAGACATGTCACTTTCAAAGTCTACAATCAAGAGAAGACTTCACGAGAGCAAATACAGAGGGTTCACCACAAGGCGCAAACAAGGCCAGATTAGACTTTGCCAAAAAACATCTAAAAAAAAAGCCAGACCGCTTCTGGAAAAGCATTCTTTGGACGGCTGAAATTAAGATCAACCTGTACCAGAATGATGGGAAGAAAAAAGCATGGAGAAGGCTTGGAACAGCTCATGATCCAAAGCATACAGCATCATCTGTGAAACACGGTGGAGGCAGTGTGATGGCATGAGCATTTTCTTCCAGTGGCTCTGGGTTACTGGTGTTTAGTGATGCTGTGACAGAGGACAGAAGCAGCCGGATGAATTCTGAAGTGTACAGGTACAGTATATACTCTGCCCAGATTCAGCCAAATGCACAAAATTGATTGGACAGCGATTCACAGTACCAGTGGAAATGACCCAAAACATACTGCAAAAGCAACCCAGGGGTTTTTGAAGGTGAAATAGTGGAATATTCTGCAAGGGCCAAGTCAATCTCCTGATCTCATCCCGATTGAGCATGCATTTCACTTGCTGAAAACAAAACTAAAGGCAGAAAGACCTACTGACAGACAGTTACTGAAGCTGCAGTAAAGGCCTGGCAAAGCATCACTGATGTCCATGAGTTCCAGACTTAAGGCAGTCATTGCCTGCAAAGGATTCTCAACAAAATATTAAAAATGAACATTTTCTGTTGCCCCTATTGTATCTGTACAGATTCTTCTTCTTCTTCCCCAAAGGGAGTCAATGGCAGCCCTATGAAAGGAACATAGGAAAATGATGAAATTTGGTACACTTGTAGTGATGCTCATGAATAGTGATCTGACCAAATTTGGGGTCTCTGGGACCAACTCTATAGCGCCACCACCAGTTCAAAAATTCAACATTGAAATGGAAATAACTCTTGAACCCTTAGTTTAAGAAAAATGAAACTTAGTACATCTGATTACTCTCCTCATGCTGATCACATTGAATATCTTATATTAAGCCTGCACCCATTACAGTAGTGGCCATTTTGAAAATGGGGGGGACTGTGTATAAAAATGGTTGTAATTCCTTTTTTTTTTTAGAATTTTATGTTATATTTTTGTTCAACCCCTTGAATTAAAGCTTAAAGTCTACACTACAATTTCATCTGAATTGTTTCATTTTAATTCTATTCTGGTGGCATACAGAGCCACCAGGGAAATTGTGAAAATTGTGTCAGTGTCCAGATATATATGGACCTAACTGTACTATTTTTAAATGATAAAATATATCACGCTACACGAATTATGAGATGTCTTGGCAGTGTATGGTAAAGTAACAATATCTGAAATAGATGCTGATCTTATGGCTGTATCATTAGGGCGGCACAGTGTTCACATTTGGATCCGGAGGTTCTGGTCAGCTTGGGCACAACTCATTTAGAGATGAA